TCTTTCCATGTGAAGGTGACAATTTTCTACGGGCTCAGGAAGGCTTCGCTGGTTATGGCCCAGTACTTAGTGGAAACCTCAACACGAATAGGAGGTCCGGGCTCAGATTCCAGTTCGGTCGCTTACTCACTAGCAGTATGACCCTGGATAAGTCGTTTAATCTCCCGGAGCTTTTATCTCCCCATCTGCAAAATAGGGGTCAGAGCACTTCATAGGGTTATTGAAAATATTAAATAAAATAACATATGGGCCTCATCCAAACCTCTAATAGGTGTTCATGTCAGTGTTGGTTGAGTCTGAATCTGTTTCTCCTCTCACAAAGCAGCACTCTTATTTCTGACCGTGACCCCATCCTCTGGCAGTATCCTTATTAACCTTCCTTTTAAATTTGGCAGCTCTGTGCAAGACAAAGAGGGGAAAGAAAGAGCTGTAATCATTTCACATAAACTTTTGGTTTTGCGTCCAGAGTTTTATGAAAACAAAGGGTAGAGGGTTGGATGGCACCACCAAAGAGCTGGGAAGGAGGAGGGGGAAGGCTAGACTGGCACCCGGGAGCACTGACATTTCAAGGACAGTTTGGGCAAGAGTTCTGGGTCTGGGGAACTGAAAGGGAGGAATCAGAAGGAGACTAGGACTGAACGTAGCTATTCAATATAACAATACACCGCGAGGGATCAGGCTTAGCTGCGACCGTCTCCATCTCTTGCCAAATCAGGTCGTTAATGACCCTGGTTCTTTTCACTTGTGCTTACTTCTGACAGATGGCTACCTGGTCTGCCCACCCACCAACTTGCCCATCCTCGGCGATAGAGGAGAGCATGTAGGGAAGAGAGTTTGTTGGGATGAACTAAGAGTAGCTTTATAGCAATTGACCCAGTTACCTAATCCTAACCAAAGAAGGAAATGTATATTTCCGTCATACTATCATTTTTAAGAAATCTTCAAAATTTTACTGGCTCGATGTTAATCACCCTTAATAGCAAGTCAGTGAGTACTTTTCTTGGATGGTTTTGTGGTCAGTGATTATACTTGCTGTGTATTAGTTTTAGGAAAACTGTGCTTCAACCTTAAAGAACTTGTAGGCCCTGCAATAGAGCAGATCTCAAATTACTGATTTATAAAGATGTAGGCTACACTCTCTTTATTCCTTTCAGTCTGTCTCCAAAACAAGGTAGGAGGGCCTTCCGTTTAAGTGCCAGGTGCTGTTAACCCCTCCCTTTTCACAAAATGAAAATACAAGGCCTTCTGTCTTTACTGTTGTGATGTTTATGGCTATACACCTGACTGGCACATAAAATAACTAGCTCCACTATTTATCAATTATACCAGGATGAATACTTGCCAGAATAAAGAAGATATATGAGAGATTGTTGAAGGGAATGCAGTCTTTATTTCTTCACCAAATGATTTCTTGAAATCAAGGGGTTCTTAGAAGATCCATATATGCCTAAGATATTCATGCAGGGCTTCCAGAAGCCCATATACGCTCCCTGTCTTCCTGAGCATGAGCTTTAATCAGGTTTTCAGGAGGGTGAAGGACATCTACCTTGGAGCATGGTCCCTGATCAGACCCAAGTTGAGTAGCTGGGATGTGCCATTTTTCTCTGTCACCCAGGAAACTCATGGCTGCGTATATTCAAAGGGTGCTTATTAAAAATGATACTAATTCATTACAGTTTTTTCCTATGAAAATTCTATGGTTTATAACTAGGAATGAATGTGAATAGATTGTTGTAAATGAAGAGCAGTTCCCAATGTTAAATTCTTTGTTGGTTGTTGGAAAGTTTAGGGCCAAACTCTCAACCCACCTCCTGCACAAGTACTTAGTACTTCATAACATTCATTTTATGTCACTCAATATTGAGACTTGGAGAACTAAGAAATAATACCCATTTCCCCCTGCCTGGGTTTTAAACTAATTGAGAAACAGACACTGGAGATAGATAGGTGGAGATGCAAATGTCGGCTTCATTACCAATCAGGTTGAACGGGTATATTAAGTGAATGCAGCCTGGATGTGCAGAGAATTGGGCTGTTCGTATTCTATCCTGACTTAGACAGCCATGCCCACCAAGTCCCAGGCATGGCTGGGTGCCCTCACCTCCTCTGCAAGAAGCTGTGAAGTCTCTGCAGACAGACACACTCTCTCCGGAGGGAATGGCATCTCAACTCCTTCCCCCTAATGCACAATAAGATAAACCCCTCTGGCCCTGGTACCTGAAAGAGAGACTGGGGCAAGAAGCAGGAGCAGTACTCTCGGGAGATCCTTCCAGATGGGGAGGTGGAAGCCATTATCCCCAATGCTGGTCTTCTACCCTCACACTCCCTTGGCCCAGTTTCCTTAACTCTTTCACTAATTGCAGCATGTATATTTTTGTAAAGGTCTTTATATTCTTTTTGGACCAAGTTGGGCCAAATAAGTGAACTAGAGAATTTATTTTAAAATCACAAGAATCCTAATACTTGTTATGGCATGGTATGAAATAGCAAAATGCTACACAATTTAGAGTGCTTGGAGAGGAAGGGATTGCAGGAGTCTGGAAACGAGTGAATTATGTTTTTTGTGCCTTTCAGTGTTTAACTGAAAACTCTTGGTGCCTTGTGTGTCTTTAATACCAATTCTTTAAACTCTGTTTTAAAAACTCAAAGGGATATGCCCATTAATATGTCTTTCCTCAGATTAGCTACAGTTAATATCTATAAAGGAGAGAGACATTATAAAATGTTCTATCATAAACCCATTTTAGAAGAGACTATACCAAATTCTTTAAGAAAGATTCTAGAATTGATATGTCCAAGTATATATTATACCTTTCAAGAGACTCAATTGGAAAAGCAACACCCTTATTTCAATTAGGCCATTATTGTTCCAAGAATTTCTTCATTAGAATTGCTGCTGGAGGCTTCAGAAAGTATCTCAAATACCCTAAAAAATGACAGGCCTATGTCCTGTCAGGTGAATCTAGTTTTGGCACCAACCATTTGGATCTATGCTCGGTAAGTAATATACCTCTTCAAATTTGGTGACAAAAGTTTTAGTTCGTAAGATGATAAAAGAAAATATCCTGGCAAATTTTCATGATCTTGGATTTGACAGTGTTTTCTTTAATATAACAGTACAGGTAACACAAGAAAAAAAATATGTAAATTGATCTTTATTAAAATAAAAACTTACTCATCGAGAATAACTATCAACAGAATGAAGACAGACTAAGATTGGGGAGAAAATATTTGCAAATCCTATACCTGTTATATACGCAGAATATCCAGAACACATAAACAACTACAACTCAACAACAAAAATTTAAACAATCCAATTTCAAAATAAGCAAAGGACTTGACTAGACATTTCGTCAAAGAAAATATACGAATAGCCAACAAGCACATGAAAAGATGCTCTGCATCATTAGTCATTAGTAAAATGAAAATCAAAACCACAATGAGATACCAATTCACACTTACTGAGATGGCTATAGTGTTTTTAATTAAAGTAACAAATATAGAAAAGGATCTGGGGAAATTGGAGCCCTTGTACATTGCCAGTCAGTGTGCCAAGTGGTTCAGTCACAGAGGAAAACAGCTTGGTGGTTCTTCAAAGAGTTAAACATAGAAATACCATGAGCCTTCAATTCCACTCTTGGTATATGCCCAAAAGAACTGAAATCATTGACACAAACAAATACTTGTATACAGATGTTCACAGCAGCAATCTTCACAGTAGTCAAAAAGTAGAAACAACCCAAGTGTCCATCAGTGAGTAGATGGATAAACAGACTGTGGTATATCCATACAATGGAGTACTATTCATTCATAAATGGAGTACTATTCATTAATTCATATACTGCTATGTATACAGTATGGATGAAACTTGAAAGTAGGATTCTACACGAAAAAGGCCAGACATAAAGGGACTATATGGTTCCATTTATATGGGGTACCTTTAAAAAGGCAAATTCATAGACAGAAAGTAGATTTGAGACTACCTGGGGAAGGTTATAGGGAGTTTAATGGGTACAGAGTTTCTGTTTGGAGCAATAGAAGAATTTGGGAAATAGTGGTAATGGCTGCACAGCATTATGAATGCAATTAATGCCACTGAAATGTACACTTTAAAAGAGTTAAAATGCGGGGCATCTGGAGGTCTCAGTTGATTGGCTTTCTGACTTCTGCTCAGGTCATGATCTCACAATTCATGAGTTTGAGCCCCGCATCGGGCTCATTGCTGTCGGCGCAGAGCCAGCTTCACATCCTCTGTCTTCCCCCCACCTCTTCCCCACCCTCAAAAATAAATAAAACAGAAAAAACAGTTTAAAATTTATGATACCTATGACATTTTTGTTAAGCATTACATGTAAAAACATAAAACCTTATGTTTTTAGTCATTCATATAAAACTAAGCAAATTTTAGTTATAATTTACCATATTTTAAAAAGCATTCAAAATTTATAGCCGTTAACATTGTATTCAAGAAATCTAGCAGTTCCTCCTTTATTTATCTTAACAAATACCCTTTTGAAATAATGAAATGCAAATAGCTTTTATATCCAGTTAAACTATCAATAATACACAGCATTATTAAAAAAAAAAAAAAGCTAGATGATTGGCAAGCGGTGAGAGCTTTTTCTTGTGCATCTTCCTAAAGGGAAAGCCCTTGATGTGTGTAACAGGAAATAAAAAGGAAAAATGGGTCAATTTTGCTGTTCAAAGGAATGTGTAATTTGTAGTTGAGTTGTCAAATTACATAGTTGACACCCCACGCAAAGAACACCAGGTAGTTTATGTTTAGTCAACTAATGTTGATATTAACACCTAGGACATGGTGAAACCCTTTTTCATTCTTGTTGGGCACTCTTTTCCCCTTCTCTTCTTTGCACGCTGAGTTTCCTTACATAGAAGCTGTTGGTATCATGTAGGTAATGCAACACAGGGCTTTGTCATGACTCCTTTTGCATGAAAGCATTACAGACGATTGCTCATGTGCAACCCCGATTCTCTTCCAGAGCATAGGAAACTTGGAAATATGACTGTGACCGTGAAGAAGACTGTCCCCTCCCCCGAGGCCGTGCAGATTCTCTATCAGCGAATGAGATACGAGTACGAGTTCTACCACTACGTCAAAGAGCAGTTCCACCTGCTGAAACGCAAGTTTGGACTGAAGTCCCATGTCAGCAGGCCCCCCCTGAGACCCCAGTTCTTTATTCCAACCCCACTGGAAACCGAGGAGCCGATCGATGATGAGGAACAAGATGACGAGAAGTGGCTAGAAGATATTTATAAGAGGTGATGCCAGCACTGTGTTGCCTCCACTAGCTTTATCTCCCTTTTCCAGAAAGTTTTTTGTTGGGGGAAGAAAAATCCTTAAGGGACTAAATTAATGCTCAGTTGCATTAAAAAGAACGAAACATTCCCACATGTTGGGGTCATTGGGAGACACCCGGTTTTGCGGGTCTTTCTTGTTTAACTGTATTCTGGGTCTTCTGGTTCCTTGGGTCCTTCCCAGGTGCACTCGATGGCACCATCACCCTGCAGTTCATCATAACATAGCTTTTCCCCCTCTAGTGTAATGAGAGAGGAGGGGGAGAAATACTGCCCATAGCCCAATAATTTGTCATTTGTAAAATGACATCTTGTAAAGATGCTACCTCAGTGGTAGGAAACATCCAGACTTACATAATTGGGTAGAAATACAAAACCACTTCAGAGACCAGGGAGTCCACTCTAGGAGGGTCTAAGAGGAGAAGGTAAGACTGATAAGGACCTCAAAAGGGAGGCTTGTCCCTGGACCAGTGGTTTCCATCCACGTGGGTAGAATTCTGCCTCTGGTCCGTCTCAGGGGACACTTCCACCAACAGCGTACTTCTGTCTCTCAAAGAGCAAGTCAGCTTGTGCCACACCCCCAACCAGTCCGGAGCCTTGAGTACTTCTCAAGGTCAAGGTGCAAGGCAAGCTCCATTGAGACACTCCATTTCCAAGCACCATTCTGACAGGTCTGAAAGCAGCATAGCAGGGAAAAGAATTTGTTTGCTGTGTCAGGAAGAGCGTAGGCAAGACAGAGCAGCACTGGAGGCCACGTGACGTCAGAAAACAGGCACGCTTGTGTTCTTTGCACCCAACATGCACCGTCTCTCTCCCCGGCTCTGCTTTCACTGGAAACCCAGGAACCAGTTCAGCTCTGGCATTTGTCTCCCGGGCAGAAGATCTAAGCCTGACCACAGACAGTGCAGAGTCTCTAACCCCTGGCCAAGCCAGGTCCCACCGTATGGCGTCTGTCACCTTCCGGTCCCTTGAAGGGTACCTGGTTTTGGTCCAAAGGGGTGCTGAATTCTACTCAGGTGGCAGTGAAACTACAGCTCCCTTTCTTATGGAAGTAGCTCTTTCTGAGAACGCTTATTAAGACATTAAGGAGACACGAAGCAAGAGCTTCTGGTAAGAGCCTGCCTGACCAGCCTCACGAGTCGGCGTCTGGCCCCAGAGTGGTCTGCGTAGCTGTCGGGCAGATCTGTTACTTCAGATATCTCTCCTCCCCCTTCCTCTCCTGTCATCTGCCACCAATTCATGACCCCGTGGGTCTTTGGAACTGTTTTCATCTTTTAACTGCTCCCCCCAGCCCCGGATATACATAGATTTCTGGGCGGATAACATACAGCCAGCTGAGAAGCAGGGGTGCGGGGGGTGGGGTGGTAGACAGGATACATGCGACAGATTTTGTCCCCTTCACATTTTCTCCCCTAGAGCCAGCCCTTCAAGAGCACTAGCTGAGTGTGAGCTGAGAATACTTGCTAGTAAACAAGACTGACTTTACAGAAGCTACACATTTTCTACTTTTCAGAAACCAACAAGTCTCTCTAGAGTTTTTTCTTCGTTCACTAAAATTGGACGGTAGCCAAGATATAAAGCAAGTCATTGGGAACCTGTCGAATGTGCACTAGAGCTACTTTATCACGAGATGTGTTAAGAAAGCTCCACCCCACAGGAGTCCAGTGAAGGCTGGGACCACAGAGGCACAAAGTCCAGCATTTGGCCACTGGTGGGCCTCCGTTCTGCCTCAGAACACTGGGGCTGACACGTGATTAAGAAAAATGTTCTTAGAAGAGGAAATAGCCTTTGTCCTGTGTAGAGAGACCAGGGCCTTACCATTAGGCACACCTTAAGAAGCCACCCAGAGAACAGCTGTCCTATCAAAAACAAAAATAAGAACGGTGCCCAGTACGTTGTGAGCCATTTCTATGAAACTGCATATAAAGAATGATTATTAGTTTACACACTGTGCAGGCTCACTCTCTGCAAACAAAATGGAACTGGCTTCATGATCTCTGCTTTCGTCAGAACATCAGGACCCTCGGTCATTTACAAAATGTGTCGTCTTAGTGCAAGTTCACAGGAGCACTTCCACCTGTGTGTTCAAAGGCCTTTATTGTCAACAGTGATCATTATAACAGACCAACCAGAGATGCTGACCGACTCACTTGCAGGGCCTTAAAGCTATTTCGCCCCAGCAAATAGTCTCTATGTCCTTAAAATCAAGCCACTGCATCAGTTTATTGGCACACATGACAGCATTTCTTTGGCCCTGAGCCCAACACAGTTTGTACTTCATGAAATATATTGTACATTTTACATAGTTTAATTTAAAAAAAAATACATTTTAAGCTGGTTGATCTTTGACTGCCTTATTTATTATAACCTTTCAGCACATTCCAAGGTTTTAGTTACTCAGGAAGGAGTTAATTAAAATGATTTTATTTTGGTCTGATGGATGTTTTTTAAAAGGAAAATTATTATTATGAACCTTCAGCCTACTCTCCTTGAGTGCCGTAAAAGTGCTTGTAAATCTTTTTTTTTTAAAGAGAGAAACAAATGGTGTTTGACATTGATGGAAATTCAAAAATATATATGGAACTGAAACATTAGCTTAGCTAAAATAAAAGCAATCTGTGTTTGAGATGAAGTGTTCCTTAACTTATTCATTATCCATATAAATAAATGAATATAAATAAGTTGAGATTTTTTTTCCCATTTTGTTGATAGCTAGAAATAATAAAAGTGCCTGCAGTTCTTCACAGCACCCTCTGCCTTTTTAATCGGCCAAACTTCTTCCTTCAAGATGTGATTTTTAGACAGAGGGTTTTTTTTTTTAATCTATAAACTCTAGTCATATTGTAATTGATGACACCAAAAAGCTGGCAGAGAAAATGAGCTAGGCGTTCATACATCTAGTTGCATGGACATAATCCTGAGCAGCTGACCTTGCCTCCATGTGCACTGACTGCTTGGTTGGCGCCGGGGGCGGGGTGTTGTCGGCATGGTCAGAACCCTTCACTCCCCAAGGCGGGCATCTGCTGCCAGGGTGCTGAGGCACAGGCGGGGAAGGCTGGGCCACACCATGCCTCTTAGCATGTACGCTGATCTCTTTCTCAGACACGTAGAGCCTCAAAACCTGGGTGATTCTCCCCTCCCGAGCCAGCAGTTTTGATCCAGAAACACTTCCCCTGAGAAATGTCACAGCTGCAGAGAACCAGCAAGTCCTCCCTGCTTTCTAGCTATTGGACACCCCATGCCGACTACTGTGGCTGTTTTGTAAAAGGAAAGAACCGGAGTCTTGGGATTGAGGGAAAGGAAACTCTATTTTGGTGATAACATGCTTTACTTTAAGTAAGAGCCTGGGGTATTTTTTAATCTTTATTTTTTTTTTTATTTTTAAACATTTATTTATTATTGAGAAGCAGAGACAGCCTGAACAGGGGAGGGGCAGAGAGAAGGGGAGGCACAGAATCTGAAGTGGGCTCCAGGCTCTGAGCTGTCATCACAGAGCCTGACGCAGGGCTCGAATCTGCAAACTGCGAGATCATGACCTGAGCCGAAGTCGGACGCTTAACCCACTGAGCCACCCAGTTGCCCCTTTAATGTTTATTTTTGAGAGATTAAAGACAGACGGAGCGCAGGGGAGCAGAGAGAGAGGGAGACACAGAATCCAAAGCAGGCTCGAGGCTCTGAGCTCTGTGCTCTGAGCTGTCATCACAGAGCCTGACACAGGGCTCAAACCCACAAACTGCAAGATCATGACCCGAACTGAAGACAGACACTTAACTGACTGAGCCACCCAGGTGACCCAAGAGCCTGAGGCTTAAACAACAAATGACAAATGGTTACCTTTTCTTTTTTAATCATTTAATTTGTTCTGTAACTTGGTCACCTGATGCTTGACTCCGAGGGACCTTTAAAGACAAAAGTATTGAGGGGCGCCTGGGTGGCTTAGTCGGTTAAGTGTCCGACTTTCGCTTAGGTCATGATCTCGCGGTTCGTGAGTTCGAGCCCCGCGTCAGGCTCTGTGCTGACTGCCAGCTTGGAGCCTGGAGCCTGTTTCAGTCTGTGGCTCCCTTTCTCTCTGACCCTCCCCTGCTTACGATCTCTCTCTCTCTCCTAGAAATAAATAAAAAAACATTTAAAAAAAAAAAAAAAGACAAAAGTATTGAACAAAACCCAGACCATGCCCCATGTGGGGCCGTGTGTTTGGCCCAAAGCTCTTCAGAAATGTGCGGTTACCTACAAGTTTGTCCAGTGAACTATTGGGCTCAAGTGAGCGGTGTAGACAATGGTAGTATTTCTCAGAAGGCGGAGCGATGATGCATAAGCATTCAGAACAATTATTCGGTGGGTCAAAATTATGAAATTCTCTTCAAGCAAAAATCAAGAGGATTTATTTTACTAAACTTCCTTCATATCTGGTGATGCAGAGAACAATTTTTTAAGTATTTTAAATATCCTACGAAAGACAAGACTGCTTTAGGCTAAAACCAATATGAAGAGTCTGTTACATATATATACACACACACACAAACACACACACACACACACACAGAACATCTTTCACAGCTCAGAAAAGTCACTGTGATATAGAGCTCAGTGTTTGTGCCATAGATGGACTGGCCTGCACAACAGAAAGTTATTTTCTCACACTTCTGGAGGCTACAGGTCTGGGATCAAAAAGTCAGCAGCACTGGCTTCTTCTGAGGCCTGGGTCTTTGGCTTGTACCTGGGGTTCTTCTCCCTCTGTCTTCACATGGTCTCACCTTTGTGTTCATTCATGTCAAATTTAAGAAAATTTTTTTAAAATTTTTTAAAAATGTGTATTTATTTTTGAGAGAGAGCGAAACAGAGCACGAGGGAGGAAGGGACAGAGAGAGAGGGAGACACAGAATCCGAAGCAGGCTCCAGGCTCTGAGCTGTCAGCACAGAGCCCGATGCGGGCCTTGAACTCGTGAACTGTGAGATCATGAGCTGAGCCGAAGTTGAACACTTAACCGACTGAGCCACCTCAGTGGCCCCAAATCCTCCTTTTAATAAGAACACCACTCATACTGGATTAGGGCCCACGCTGATTACCTCATGCTAACTTGATTACCCCTGTAGAGACCCGGTCTCCAAACACAGTCACAGCCTGAGACACTGATTGTTAGGACTTCAGCATGTGACTTTTGTGGGGGACACAGTTCCTCTTACAGCACCCAGACCACAGCAGAGAAGTTAGAGCACAGCAGCTAGTCTCCAACTAGGAGAGAAGCAAGCCAAAACTCACAGACCCCTCAACCTGCCATGAGACTTAGCGGCCATCTGGCCCTTGTCCTTCTTTCATACATATGGAATTGGAAGTCTAGAAATCGGGGCGCATGATTGGCTCGGTTAAGTATCCAACTTCGGCTCAGGTCATGATCTCACAGCTTGTGAGTTCGAGCCTCACGTCGGGCTCTGTGCTGACAGCTCAGAGCCTGGAGCCTGCTTCAGATTCTGTGTCTCCCTCTCTCTCTCTGCCCCTCCCCACTCACACTCTGTCTCTCGCTCGCTCTCTCAGAAAATAAACTTAAAAAAAATTTTTTTAAAGGAAAAAAGAAACTCCAGAAATATACAAGATGCAAATAAATACATCACATGCTAACTTTTTCCACTGAGGGTTCAATTCATTTTCGACCATCGAACAGACCACAACTCTAAAATGATGATATAGCCAAAGCCCCTCTACTGGCCTAAATCCGGAATGGAAATGATAAGGCTCATTCAGCCACACCAGCATCACCCGCCACACAGAAGCCACCTTCCTGTGCAGCTCTCCTGGGTGTGGGGCCTTTGGGACCCCCCTCCCACAGAGGGAGACCTTACCCAAGCACTTAAGTCCTCCAAGACAGATGTCAAAACAAACCCATTTCATTTCAGATTTTCCTCTCTACCCAAAGGACAAAGAGGGGTTCTTATTTCTGGCTTTGAGCCACGCTTCGCCCATCTCAGATTATAGAGTTTTATTTTTCTTCAAGGCAAGATGAAGATTCATGTTCTACTTCCTCTGAGGAGTTTCAGAAGGACCTGCCTCAAAAACTAAAGTCAAACGCAGCTCATAAAACTAGTCGCAGTCGAGTGCCGACATGCCTTTGGAAACCCCGAGCTAGAGAGTAACCAGGCCCTGACCGCTCGCAGGCCTCCTCCCTCACTGACTGCTTCACTGGCTGGAGAATTCCTTCTGCAAGGGGCAGGCCTGGCTCCGGCGCCCGGCACCACCGAGTCCCAAGGCACAGCCTGGCCCACAGATGTTCATGGGTCACAGAATCGTGAACCGACCACTTGTGCACTTTGGATTTCAACTTGTAAACACGGGGATTCCCTTTAAAAAAAAAAAAAAAAAAAAGGTGGGGAGAGAGGAAAAAAGGAGGGGAATAAAAATCACCCTGCAAAGGAAAAATGTGAGCTAAGTTTTTCCTTTGGAATCTTGGCGTGTGAGCTTAGCTATCTTCAATCTGGCTTTTGCCAGACACTGGACGCTTTGAGCAGGCATGGAGCAATCTGCCGTACGCTGTGCTGCCAGCACATTCAGACTTGACCTGTAACACGCCTCCGAGTCCAGTTGTGAGCAGAGACCGCCGGGAAGTCGGCCGCGCAAGATGCAGCACGCTGACTGCGGGGTGCAGCTAGAGAAGCTGCTGGAACCAGAAACCAGAGCAGCTGACTGACTAGGGCAAAAGCTGCATGCCAGCTAAGTCCCTGAAATCACATCCCGGCTGCTCAACTTCACCGGGCGCTGGGCGAAACCCCTTGACCTCTCCATGCCTGAAGCCAGCCCAGCTGGAAAATAGGAGATGCCCTGAAAACCAAGAGTTGCTTCCGGGATGATCTTTGTCCCACCCTCCACCCCTCCCCCCATATGCTAAGAGACTAAGAGCCACAATCCATTGGGGGCTGATGAATGTTTGTTTTCTCCACAAAACGCTGTGTCCTCAACAAGAGAACCTACGATGACACACAACTATAGGTCCACTGATGCCCCCAAACCC